TACAAGATTTGAGGTAGAATTGAGGTAGAACGTTCTTTCATTTAAATTGTGAAAAATATGAGGTCAGTTTGATTCCATATTTTTCTAAAATTATATATGTATGTAAATTAAACGTACTTTCGAAGCGGGCGGCGGGACTTCACTTCCAACGGCCGACAGCTTCTTACGGACAACTTTTGAACAAATCACCCACTTTTGAACAAATCACCCACCACCAAATCTTTTTTAACTCCCCCTCCCTTTTAGCTGCCGACACCCGCCCACACAGAATATAAAGATATTTTAGAATGTGGGTTTGCACATTCTTCAGTTGACGGATCTTTTAGAATTTGAAATCTCAGTTTTATTGAATGCCGTAGTTTGAAGCGGGGCAAACTTCTTATGCAAATAATCCTAATCATATTGTTGCGATGTAATCCCATTATCATTATTACTTTGCTGCTAGAGATCGGGATAGATTTCACATTTTCTTTTTAACATAACAATATATTGCCCCATCATTTCAGGTTTTTTTATGTTAAGCTTGTTACACGCTCGAAATTTTTTCCCTTCCAATTGTTTTTTCACTATTTACTCTATGCAGGAACTTGCGGCAAATGCTTGCATCTATTATACTTCATCTGGTTGGAACCCGTTTTGTCCACGAGGATGCAGATCTTTCCCTGTCTATGGTGCATATGGCTCCTCCAAAGAGGGAGATGGAGGTTGAGGTTTCTGCTGCTGCATTACTGGATTATTCGGGTGACAGCCTCTTTGATACTTTCTTGTGTGTACTTCATGGTTTATTAAGCAGTTGCAAGCCTAGTTGGTTAAAGCCCAAGTCTGTCTCCAAATCCCTTGTCAAATCTCCTAGAGATTTTTCAGCTTTTGATTCTGAGGCAATGGAAGCTATGCAGGTTGGTTTTATATTTATGTTTTATTATCACTTTTCCTTGAGATTTTTTTTTGATGTGTTTTAATGCACTTGTAAAATGAAGAATGGTAAAAATATTTATCTTAGCTTAAGAAAAGAAACTATAATGATCATCTAATTGATTCCAACTTAATTGAAGAGTTTGCATGATCTAAAGGATATTACTTTCATGAGGCTCATTCTGATGGATCCAGGGAGGGGTTAATAAACAAAACATTTTGCCTGATTTCATAGAATATATTTCCATCATTTTATGATTCAAATCCATAACTTCTTCTACAAGGTAAGCAACCTCATTATTCTACACCCACAGATTAGATGAGTCAAAATATAGATGAAGTGAATAATGCATCTATTGACCTTTTCAGAGATAAACATGTCTTATCAATTACAATGTGCTTGGTCGTGCATAGGATTCTTTGCAATACTAATGATAACTTGGCTATCTTAGAACATCTTTATGGGATTGATGTGGGGCGGATAGGTGACTCTAGATTGGTTCGATCCAAGTGGGGAAGGGTTGGTCTCTCTAGGGCTTGGGTTGCCTCCCACTCCTAATAATAATAAGGGTATTTTTGTATGTTCGCTTTTATTAGGTTTAGGTCTTTTATGAATTATAAATATGTAGTCATTTATTGTATCAAGAGTCTTTTATCCATTTAAGTTTTGTGAGGGCTTTATGCTCTTCCCATTGCGGTTCCTGAATGAGGACGAGTCTGTATCTACGGTGTTGAATGGTGGAAACTGTATCCCTCCGTTGTTGGTGGTAGCATCTGAGGTCATTCATCAATTCTTCTAGTGGTGATTTTTGTATCTCGATCTGCTACGAGAGTAGGAAACCCTTGTAGCTTGTATCTTCTATTTGATTAGTGCGTCACATCTTTGTTTTGATTATTTTTTTTTCATGTCTTGTATTGCTTTCTTGGCTGGTCTTGCCGAATCTTTTCTAATCCCCCTTCTGTAGTAATATTTGGTCAGAGCTAGCCTAGCTCTAGTCTTATCTTAGGGTTGCTAGCATCCCCAATATCTCCCACTAAAAATTTTTCTTTCCCACCATACATCACCATTACACACCTCATTCCACCTATCCACTCCCAAATCCTAATCATGTCACTGAGAAGAGAAGTGTTGGACATCGATCAGAAGTTTATCATGGAAGAGATACAACAACTCCACGTAATGCTACAACAGCTCGATGAAATTAAGAAAAAAAAGACAACCTAAAGGGGTCACATAAATTCTAGTCGATCCTCGAGATGATGAATTATTACCATGTAGATTTGACATGAAATATTAGAGAAGCCATAATTTTGAAGTAAATGTTGATTTGCCTTATTTTGATGGCCACTTTGATACAGACAGTTTATTGAGTAGTTATTGACCTTGAAATGTGTCTTTGAGTGTTAAGACGTCTCATCAGACAGACTAGTGAAACCAGCTGCCAACAAATTGAAGTGTGTTATTTTGGTGGGAAAATTTGAAGCACATAAACCATCTTGAAGGAAAAGAGAAGTTCATTACATAGTCCAAGATGAAATGAGAGATGCAGTGACGGTACCCACCAACTCACTACAGACCGGATGTTCAATCTCTATCGTTAAAAGTGGAGAGACTATCACTGGGTGACTATCACATCTTATAGACAAAGTTCAACGCTAAGATATTATAACTAGAGTATACTCGGGGGGAATATTCAAGCCGACCTCGTTTGAGCAAAAACTGATTTAGTGCAGAGAATAGACAAAGTGAATTAGTATTAATGAATTTGTCCTAGCCAAAAAGTATTTCAAGTGTCACGAATTTGGACATATTGAATTTGACTGTACAACTCTGGGAATGATTTATTCCACTGAGCATGACATTATTAAAAAATAGGTAATCACATAGTAGACACTAACGAAGGTGATGACACAAAGCAGGAGTATCGACTTTAAATTTATGAGGAAAAGATGCACAGTTTCAACTGTGCCCATGAGAGAGACTCCAATCGATATAATAGTGATTGTCCAAGAAAGTCTTGAGTTTTAGGAATTGGCACCAGAGACATGCCAACCTCATATGAGAGAAATTCAGACTTTTCAAATCTATAGACTCCTAGAGTTGTCTTTATCGAGGGAAGTCCAACATGTCAGAAATGAGGTTATTTTGTGTCACGTTTGGAAGATTATATAAAGTTATTCAGATATTTGATTTAGTTCAGCAGTCTACCCACCATCAGATGTCCAAGCAGAAGGGATGAGCCAAAGCTTTGAAAATTGACCTAGGAGCTGGACGGGGAAGAAAATTCTTGAATGGAATTCAAGCCTTATCAGAGAAGAAGAGGTATCTCTTGAGTGGTTGCTAGTGAGAGTGGCACAATCTGCCACAAATTTCGTTCTAGAGTCCATTTCTTTTCACATACTTTTTCATCAGATACGTCAAACAGAGTATGAGAAGTGGGAGGAACGGTTATAAATTTAGTGGCTCGAACCCTGATTCGTGAGAATATTGGTTTATCTATTGTGCCAATTTAGATTGTGCCAAATGAGAATATATGTTTATTCTACCATGATGTGTTTTGGAATGACAACACCTATATGATTGACTTACCGAGAGATAGCTCTGTCACCTTCAATGAGCGTGACTTGATTTCATACTACAACGATACAGAAGCATCAATAAATGAGGTCGAAACTCTCCCCGAGTCCCAACCCAAAGAGACTGACATGGGAGTGCTCCCCTCTTGACGCAGGCAACAGGCAGCAGGAAACACGACTCCTGTGATCATGGGAGATGGGGAGACTCTCGGAATCAATCCCAATTTTCCTTTTCCGTGCTTTCTTTCTTATTATCCTTTATTCCATTTTATATTTTTCTTATATATGTGTTGTATTTGGGTATAGAAGTCAGTATCTTTATTTGTTTTGTAATGGGACAGTCGCCAACTTCCCTTCATTTCGAGGGCTATATTCTAGGGTTCTGGATAGTGCTTCGGTTATATCTTGGTCTTCATGTGGTGATGATTTTCCCTATCCCCGCCCACCCCACCCCGACAACAATCCATTTATTGTTTTCGCAGTTCCTTGCCGTCCAACCATCCTTGCTGTCACAGCCCTAGTATAGTCTCGTTTGTTTGTTCAGTAGCC